CTGCGACACCAATAATTAACCAAGGGAAATGGACATGTGACCAACAACAACAAAAACTTCTAGGAGTATTGACAATTGAGGAAACAGAACTAGAGAGAGCCACAAGGCTATTGGTACTTACGTGATCCTACAGCGGCGACTTCTTTAAATATAAGTCTTATTTCGTCAGCTATTTGGAAGGTTATGACGTGGCTGCCCGCCACACTTGTTGCTTTCCAGTATGGCCAGGGTATTGGCACGATCTTGAACCTCGCCAGACTCTTCGTAGTAAGTGTCTGTGCCTCGGGCAGATGGTTATTCCCTCGAGCTGAATTCTCGACAAATGCTGAATTCCCGCTCTCGCCGTGATTAACTTGGCTTCTGTAACTTCGCTGCATTTTTAAAAGTGGCAGCTAGCCAAATGGGCGGATATATCTGCGTTACACTACTAGAACCGCACGAACGTTGCAGTATTTCGCAAAGAGAACAATTTGGGGGACAGTAGAGGAAACACTGTCTCGGATTTGTCTAAAAATCTTGCCGACGAATCTTTTTGTTCCCGACAGATTTTAATTGAATTAGGAAGAAATAAACAAGTTTGTCAAATATTCTTTCGCAAAAAAATAGAAATGCTACACAGAAAAGTTAAAAAGTTTAATGTATTTGCCGTCGAATTTCTTTATCAAAATGAATTAGTAATTAATTGAATTAGGTGAAACAGAAACACACGGCTCTTTTTTAGCGCCTCATAGAAAATGAAAATGGTCATAAAAATATACTACAAAATTTTTGTCTTGAACATACAGAAAAAAATTCTTACAATACGATAGAAACAACTCTTTGTCATCAAGAAAACACCAAAAAAAAAAAATGTCCTGGAGTACACATTGCATAACTTCTGTAGCTAATTTGCATAATAAACTAACCATAAGAAAGCTCTCCCTCCTTGTTTGTTCTTCAGCACACCTATATCTCGAATACAACGGCGTAAACGTGATAGGATACTTATTTCCAATGTACAAACCAACCTCTCATTATTTATTATTTGATTTTAAGGTGGTTCTTGGTCCCGATATTAATAAACTGTCGGACCGTGTTTTATCGAGATAAAAACACTTAAGCGAAATGAACAACTTTATTCATCAGAACAAACTGGATTCCGTTAGCGCATTTTGTCTAAAGAAAATGGATCTTGAAATTTTACGTAATGCATTCAAGAAAGGATGCAACAATCGAGTTTCCACATTCTTAAAAACACTTCTTTGAATGGCTAAATGTTGTTACGGAAACTGTTTGTGACGTGTATTGTATATACACGATCGCTGCAGCCAGGAGGCTGCAGTTAATTTGCATATGGGAATTAAAACGTATTTTCCGGAATATTTGAGCCATTTCGTTTAAAAAAAGGCCAAAATGATGATCAATATCGATCTTGATACTCTATCAGATACTTGTTCCTGCACCTTTAAGTGTTTTAGGGCTGTTAAGCTTTACAAACCGGTCTGTTAGTCGGACTGTGTTATCGTTGGTTTCGATCAAGACGGCGAATATTCCTGAAATTCACAAAGCTCTCTACAGCGCAGGATGAGGAATGCCCAAAAGTTTTATTCTATGTTTAACTTGCTGTATCTAAGTAATTTTAAGCTGCAATAGACTTGACTCTAGATCAGGTCCCACATAAGAGAATATATACACTCCTCACAAATTTCAATGCTCACGATAAGGTATTTTGAAAGTCAGCCAGGTGGAAGGCTTTTGATGTGCGTTAACTGACAGTGTTTAACCTGAAGTTTCCGAAAAGAACAGATGGGAGACTTAAATTATCCTAGCATTTGTATAACACTATTGTCGTTTAGAGAAAGAGTTGTTAACATTTTTAGTTTATTGTGATCAAAGAAAGTTATAATCTAATCTATACAAGCGCACGAGTATTTTCTGCATTTTGACACCTAAAAAGCAATTTTCAAGCCGATAAATTTATCTTTCTTTTAGTCAAAACAATGCTTAACACCTTTTGCTGAGAGTCTTAGCTCTAACTGGTCCGTTATAAATAAACGTTTTCCGAGTTTTGTCGGTACGGTGGCAATTTTCGGCCCCGAGATATGCATCGCTCTGTGCCTTTTCAGAAATTGTTTGGAATTCCTTGGGAAAGATACCGCTCAGGGGCTCACTAATCGGGAACTAAAGAAACGTCATTAATATACCGTAGTTGGTATATCATAGAGGTCTAAGGTTGGTCAGGATGCTAAATGGAACTCTATATCTGGAAATGTTTGTATCCCTGTTGGCAATTTTTGCGCTGAGTAAGTAAACCGCTATGTTTCCTTTTGGTTGTTTGTTTTGTCTCTGTTTTTTACCTTTCAACGAATCGCGAGTGAGAAAAAGTTACGCAGAATTCTATAGAATTGACTTTTCACTCTTTCAGAACTAATAAGCTGGTTATGTTATTTCTTAAAGATCGTAGCGAAATGAAACTGCAAAGAAAAGTCATCTAGTGCTCAGTTGTTCAAAGGGTGGATGCGATAATGTGTAATTATTTTAAGAGAAATGAAATATCGCTTACACTTTGAGCTTAAGAGGTTTTAAAACTGCGGAGAATTTACCGAACGTGAACACAGGCGCTTGTCTCACACTTAATTGCTCGGAAAAAAAAAAAAAAAAAAAAAAAAAAAAAAAAAAAAAAAAAAAAAAAAAACAGGAAGGATGAATATAAAACAATTTAAACGGCTGTGGAGAGACTATAATTTCAGGTATCTGTATGAATATGCAAATGAGGGGCGACGGATTATATATGTTTTCATAATTTGTCGAAAAATCTACGGACCCCTGCCAGAAGCTCGTTGGAAAATGTTGTATTTTACAAAAGGTTCTCGGCTAACCGGAAACAGTTTACCTGGTGCCTCAAGCTGTTGACCGGTCAGTTTGGATCATATAAACCAGGGCATGGAATACTACTAAATGAAAGATAACTGTTAGGCGCAGAAGCTTGAAGCAAATTACTTTGCTTACTCTTTCGCTACCCAAACTGAAATCTTAACATTATCCAGATCATGAGAAGAAAGCTGAGTCTGTCCCTACCCCCCCAGGTCCAAGGCATACTATGGATTATTAATTAACTGCCCTGAATTTGTTTCGGACATAAATGGAAGAAATTGGCATACAAGCTCACGAAGAAGCAAGTGAAAGATAAAACGAGAGTGCTCAATAAATGAAATACGAAATATTTCTGAAATCTCCGAAACTTTCCGAACATTTTTCGACGTGTTTTTGGCAGTTATGGTAAGATTTGTTTAACGTTATTGTTAATGTTTTAATTAATTATTGTTTTCTTCATGTTACTTTTATTGAGCGCCGTCCGTAGTCCTCCGTCCTCTTTTTACAAAATCCCATGGTAACATAATTTTACACTCATGGTATGCTAACGCGACTTACGCTGATAGGGCATTAATTCTTCAATATAAATTTGTTTGATTTGTGTATTTCTTGGCATTTTAATATTTAATTAGCCTAAGTTCTTAATTTCTGAATGACATCAAATGCTTTTGCTTATTATTTCGATGGCTGTTATATATTTTGATTTCTTCGCTGAGTATTTTAATAACTTGCCATATACTCCTTTGCCGTTACACAGAAGACATTACTTTAGAACTGTGCACAAAGCTTCACTATGAGCCTGAATTTTTTTAAACTCGAACATTATTTTGTACGCGCCCGAAGGATTAAGGACTGTCTAAAACAACCTAGCGCAAGTTTAGTTTGTTTTGTTTTGCTTTTTTTCAAGTGATTCATAATTGTGTTTTCATCTCATTGCAATTCTTTTCAGACGCGTCCTCACATGGTACAAAACGTGCCTCACCATGCATGTTTATGGTTCAGGTTTATTTTCAACAGAGTTACAGCTTATATAAATGTCCTTGTTCTCTGGATAACGATGGCGACCACCGTGATTGCAAGTCGAGTGGCAGTGAACAAAAGTGGAATTTAACAACTGTGTCCACTAAGTGCTACAAATGTGATCTAGAAAGCATGGGAAAAACCATTTGTACTGATGTTATAGGTCGCACACCTCACAAAATTACTTGCAATAGGAAGAGTTGTCTACTCCACTCTGAAAGCAGGAAAACTAGTGAGTATTACAAAAAGACAACAACAACCCTAAATCTAAACAGTCAACAAATTTTGATTTCCGCAACTCTCTTAGATTTATTGGCTCGAAACATGATTGCATTAAACTTTGTGGGTCTTCAACCTACGAGTAATTAACATCCTCGGAAACTAAAACCCAACATGCTTTTGTTAGGGCCTGGAACTTGGACCAGCCCTCTCAGGCAGCTTTCTAATCATGAAAAAGCAACTTCGAGAGAGCACGAAGCTCGGGAGAAAGTGAACTAGGGTTTTTGCATTAGAAGATAAAAATGTACAGCAAACGTAGCCTAGAAACAATGAGTTTACTGAACCGAGCCAACACCTAGTAGTGACTAGAAATTGTTTAACATGTGTTACGCTAAAGATAACGTTTCTCTTGAACACAACGTTAATTGTTAAAGAAATAGTAAAATAAAATTCTCAATAATCTGGTTTTGCGGGAAAAGCTAGCTGCAGAAACTCAACTCACAGTCCGAAATGCCCTGAGACACAAGGATTCAAATAGCTAGGTAATCGCTTTATTATTATAGAACTATAACTATTCAAAATCCCATCCCTAATCTTTCATAATACAGATATTTAATTCAGTTAGAGTATTTAAGGCTCGTGTTGATACAAAATATACTTTGCAAGCATTCTGAGTAACCTGCACTGAGCAATCCATGTCTACTTTTTCGAATAAGTTTTAAATTTTTATCCGTGTTGACCTTGTTTGTTTAACACAATTTCAAAGCAAGTTGCTTGACTTGACTATTTTTTTTTTTTTGACATCACGATCAGCATCATTGTCATCAAAAGTATCATCGAAAGTACCATCGGCAACAACATTATTGCTAACATCCTCGTCATCAATAGTATCAAGAGCGGCAACACTAATGACAACATCATCTTCATCAGTATCATCGTCAGCAGCAGACATAGTTTCTCCAACTTCTTTGGCGTCATTAGTTTCTAGGGAAGCAGCACTAATAACAACATCATCGTCCTTAGCATTATCATTGCCAAGAGGAACAGTCTCTCCAACATCCTCGTTATCAGTAGCGTCAAAAGTGGCAACGCCAATAACAACATCGTCATTATCAGCATTATCGCCGGAAGCTGTAACAGTTTCTCCCACATCCTCGTCATCAATAGTATCAAGAGTGGTAACACTAATAACAAAATCATCGTCATCAACATTATCATTGCCAGGAGGAGAAGGTTCTCCAACATCTTGGTCATCAAGAGTAGTAACGCCAATGACAGTATCATCGTCGGCATCATCGTCGGCAGCAGAGATATTTTCTACAAGATCTTTGTCGTCATTAGGTTCAACGGTATCAACAACAATAACAACATCATCGTCAGCAGCATTGTCATCGGTAGCAGGAACAGTTTTTCCTACATCTTCGTCATCAATATTATTATCAGTAAAAAGATTATCCCCAGCATCACCTTCACAAATTGTATTATCCGAAGCAGCATTATCACTGACAACTTTGTCGTCAGTAGTATTATCGGCACCAAAGTTCTCACTTGAACCATCGTCATTAATAGTATCATCGGCCGCCATGTTAGCGTCATCATCGATACTATCACCATCTTCAAGAATTTCATCAGGAAGATCATTATTATCAATACCACCCTCATCAGTTCTATCATCAACAGTATTATCATTTCTAGTGCCTTCAGCAGCAGCTGTAGAACCAACAACAATATCATCACCATCACCAACACCAGCATTTCCTTCAGCGCCATTTTCAATATCATCACCATCACCATCACCATCACAAAAGCTGGTAACTTTTTCCTATCTATCTATCGTAATATAATTCTTTTCTCGTTTCCCTAGCCTTTTCATGGTTTACAATGATACTTCACTGCCCTTTCTTGGTTTCAGGCAAATGATACAGTTTCAGAGCTCGATAGCCTAAATATCACCAGCAACAATTCCTTACAGGTATGTGGTTTCACCAGTGGTATAAAACGCCATCTTTTTAATCTAAAAGTGTAACGAAAGAGCAACTGCAAGCTTCGAATTGATTTGAAGGTGGTATAAAATATAATACATAAGCTCAAAAATTTCCACGCAAAGATAAAATATCTTCTACCTTAGTTGTAGAGTGATGAGTGCCCGAAACATTTTTGTAAGTGATCTTTTCCTTCCCTTTTCTTAATGAAAAAAAAAAGCCTCACTCAGAGGAACAATTGAGAAACATATATTTTATGACATATCAGAAAGTCATATATACAGACTTGCTCAAAATCTCCTCCGGTATAATTTTTGCGAAAGTTGTCGCTTTTAAACCAAAAGCTCCTCTTAATGCTGCATTTGCCAATTATCACAATAAATTAATTTACATCTCATTGTGATGAATCTGGGATAAGGTAAAAAAAAAACAACTAAATAATGTGTACTTTATGGACTTACAGGAAGCTGTAAATGTGTTTGAAAACTTTACCACTAAATATCGAGAGATGACCCTCGGAGAAGAACAGCCTGGGGTAGATAAGCTCAGAACTGAGTCTATTTTTAAGGTGGCAGTCGCCTTTGAGAAAGTTGCTCTTAGCTATGGCAAATACCATCTAAGTGGAACAAAGGGTTCAAAAAGGATCGTTCGCGACAAAATATGTGAGTATTTACATGGCTATCTTTTCAGATTTGAGATAATCGATCACTTGTTCGGTAGCTGTCTGACTAATCGAGAGAGTAACTGAGTAACTTACTATTCGACTTACTGACTGACTGGCTGACAGTGACTGACTGTCTCTCTGAAGCTCTGGGAGATTGAATGACTAACTGATTTCATGACAGAAAAAAAGACTGAATGAATTTTGTTTGTTAATTTCATAAATCTGACCGTCACTTATATTAACATTATTTTTTTCCTTTCTTTCGAGAGTCCTTGGTATTCAAAAAGGTTATAGACAAGATGCAAGTAACTTCTATCTGGAGAAACAGGAATGGCAAGCATCTATCAATATTTCCTCAAGGAATATTGCCGACAATGGTTTGTATACATTGTCATTATTTTTTTACATTCAATACCCGTTAATTCTTTGACTCATCAGTGTCTTATTAAATAATCATCAAAGTTACTTTGATTAACTCGTATCTGTACAACATCTTCAAGAGAGTGCAGTCATTGGAAACTTACATTAGCCGACATTTAACCTACGTGGAATTTTGTTCTGCTCTCTTTTAGGATCAGTAATAGTTGGGTGTGTGTACAAGGATCTACATGATTTAATCCAAAAAGGTCATGATAAAACAAGGTACGTGAATGGCTTAAACATCTGATATTAGCTGGTAGTAAGAAGATAGTTTTTATGCACTATAGACATAGTTTCGAAGAATAAATTTTTTTTAAACATTCATCTTCCAATCGTGCATCCCTCCGTCCTTCTTCATAAAAAACCCCATGGATGGAAAATTGAAATAGTAGAAACGTGCAACGGTAAGTAGACCCCACCATTATTGTATATTTACCCTTACGATTTTTTTTTCTGTCCCGCTGAAGTAAACAAACGAAAGTGGACGAGGTAAAACTATTAGTCTCATTGCTTAATTACCTAAATGTCAGACTCGGAGGTACGCTTCGTTAAAAGAACCGTTTTGGGCGTGATGATCTAATCAAAGTGTCAGGCTCCCAGTCTGAGCTTACCTAAATTTAAGCTGGTGAAATATATTTAATGCATCCTAAAAATTAACTTTTATGGTCACATTGGTCGATTAAAGCTGCTAACCGGTCATTACCCACGCAGTGAACAAAAAACATGACCGCTGTTTATTTCCATTTTAATTAATATACTTGCATTGGCGTGCGTTGATGTGCTTTTCACTGAAGCTGAGCCGGCCAACGGGAACACGAGTGACACGTTTGGCTACGAGAAACTTGATGAGAGTAAAACACGTTACCTATCATTGGCGCTTCGCCAAAAGTTTGCTTCGACGTCTTTTGAATCACAAAGGGAGGCCATGCGTGTGACATAAATTCTAAAGAGGGCAAAAGAAGGACCGCAATTAAGAGACTGAAAACACTGAGGAGTAATTTTATAATTCGACTCACTCTTGAGATCGTTGATTCATATTATGGGACAAAATGTTGTATCTTTACAATTTTTTTGCGAGCGAGAGAGTAAGATTACTCTTCTCAAATTAGTTAAAGGGGAGCAGAATTTTCTTAATAGTTTTTAGTCGATTTTGTTCGAACCGGCATCTCTTTCATAATCAGCAAACAGGTGTCCGGCAATCGAATGGTCGATTGACAAAACTTTATTGTGAGTTCGATTATGTTCGACTGAGTTTGGCAATCGAACTATTGCTGTTCGAATAGATCGGATTTCCAAACGTTCGATTAGATATCTCTTGTATTTTGATCCATTGTAGTACTGCACAAGACGCAATGTGCTAACAGATGTTTCTCAAATATATTCGAGACAATAGTCTTTCGATGCCTTTCAGTGCGCTCTCAAGTTCAATGAAAAGTTCTCTTTCCAATATTTTTTCTTTTTTTTCATATTGAGTTCTTTGATTTTTTTTAAATTCGTCTCTGTCGAAAAACGTTTATTTGTTTACTACGTTGTTTGAATTGATTTTAGGGCACGTGACTGAGCGCGTGACTAAGCGTATGACTACAATTCGCTCGAAGTTTCGTAGCACTCTCGGAGACAAAGAGTCAGTCGAAAATAACATTATTTCTCACTTTTAATTTTGTTTACCCTCCCGTAAAACAATCAGCAAACAGGTGTTCGGCAATCGAATGATCGATTGACAAAACTTTATTATGAGTTCGATTATGTTCGACTGAGTTTGGCAATCGAACTATTGCTGTTCGAATAGGTCGGATTTCCGAACGTTCGATTAGATATCTCTTATATTTTGATCCATCGTAGTACTTCACAAGACGCAATGTGCTAACAGATGTTTCTCAAAGATATTCGAGACAATATTCTTACCATTCCTTTCACTATGCTTTCAAATTCATTGAAAACTTCCCTTTCCGAATTTTTTTTTTTCATCCTGAACTCTTCAAGGTTCTTTTTTTTTTTTTTGGCTTCGATTCATTGCTGTGGAAAAAAGTTTATTTCTTTATTGCGTTAAATTAATTGAAATCAGTTTAAGGCTCGTCACTGGCTGCCATTCGCTTGATCATGAGTTCCACAGCGCTATCGGAAACAAAGAGTCAGTCGAAAATAATATTATTTTTCACTTTTGTTTTTGTTTACCCTCCCCATTAAAATCGCCTTGGCCATCCGATGGAGCACATTTTCACAAGAACTCTTTGGCGGTTCATGGCTCTATGTTATAGTGATTTATGAATGTCTTGGACATGTTGAGTTGTTCATGCGATCGATGCAATTCGTTCCGGCACTTCTCCATATGAACCAAGTAATGGAAGTGTCTGCTTCAAATACTTAAAACTTGTTTGTGGCCAAATGTTTCATGCAACTTTGTTTTTGTGATCAGGAGGAAATTGATAATTATAAAACATCGCTACGAGCTTCGGTTTTTAAAATTGACCTCGTAGTATTATTGCAAGAATGAGAGTACATTGACTGTGCAATTATTACTCCAGCTTTACGTTAGGTAACATGCGTACTGCGTTAGCTTTTGTATTCGATGGTTGACACGCTTTGCGTGTTTGCCTACTCACGCTTCATTGCTGAACGGCGCACGCTCGATTGTTTGTAGTTTGTTATATGAAAGAATAGCATGCATAAGCTCATTAAAGGGTGCTCTAGCGTGCTAAGCAAGCGTGTTATAGCCAGTTTCTTTTGTTTTCTAGTGGAAGCGTGTTGAGAGCGTGCTATAACCTTTGTCCCTTAGATCATATGGAGGCTCACAGGCAGTATTTTGTTTACTTGTTTAGGCATGTGGTAACTAGGATTATGATGGCTGCTATGGATCCCAAACCAGAAAACTTACAAGAAAATGTAATCTTGAAGTTCAAGAACCTGAAGGTAATTACAACGAAAGCAAAATTAAATTTATTCGGCTCAGTTTAGATCAGTTTCAGTTTTTATAAGTTCAGTCTCAGTTGCTGCATCATTTGAAATAGATTTAACTTGAATCTTCTTTCAGAATGAACTGAGTGAGAAGCATTGCATGTTCTGGAGTGGCCTCAGCAATAGGTAAAACGGGAAAACATCTGACATCACCATCACAAACAATAATATCACACAAAATAATCCATTGTTCCATCCTTTTTTCTGAATTGATTGAATTTCGAATTGCAAGGAAAAATTAACATCACTGATCACAGGTTCGCGTAACGGTCCAACTGATGGGAGTGGTCTTGAAAGGAAGTGCGAACTGTGATTGTTGATAATAAATGACGTTTCCTCAACCAGAGCAGAAGTCTGATCGATAAGTTTTTATAAGGTATTAATCAAGGGACTGTACTTTGAGAGTTTACCTCGATTTCCTACACCAGTTATCACCCCAACTTACCCTTGTTTCGGAGTGGTGAACTCAAAATCCATCAGAGCCAAAAGCTAAGCGTGACGTTAAAAAGACACAAATAAGCCATGTCGCAAGCAGGCAAATTGATGTTGCTTACCAACTCTGAATCCAGTCTTCTATATCCAACCGGCTTAAGTGAATAATCCCAGTAAGTAGAGTGAGAAGCTATTTAAGATTTCATCATATTAATTGCCTATTACTTTAAGTATTTAATGGTTTAATTATCTCGTTATATTTTTCAGTCAAGATGGATTTTCGAAAAATGGATGTCATGTAGTTACATCCCAAAGCAACTCAGAAGAAACAGTCTGCAGCTGCAATCATTTGACTCATTTTGCTGTCTTAGTTGACTACAGAAGTGACAGTGTGGTATTACGTTTTTCAATATTGTTTTAAGCATTGCTCGTATGTTCATTAAATTGATAAAGATGTTATTCCCTCTGTTTCTGATTTGCTACACAGCTGTCCCAGAAGGACGAAGATATCCTGGAGATTATCACCTACCTAGGATTAAGCCTTTCCATTATCGGAATGATTCTAACTATAATCATGTATTCCTTGTTCGCGTGAGTAATCAATGTCAAGTTTCTTATGCCTTTGATTGGTTGAAACTATCAAAGAAATATATAGAAATCACCGTGGTATATTTTTTTCTTAAATTAGAGATGTTCATCAACCTCTCCCTCAAATACGACTGAGTCTCGCTGCATCGCTCGGAGCTGGTCAAATAAGCTTTCTCGCTGGAATGCACGCCGTGGATAATCCAGTGAGTAACTTCTACTCACATTCACATTACTTAAACTTATTACTGGCCTCACCATCAACATTAACAGGACCTTTTTTTAAATATTTTGGTATCTATTTCGAACTTGAAATTTATTAAATGACATTATAATTAAATTTTTAAAATTTATGAAGAACGAGAAAAAGAAAAGAACATGAAAAATATTTTTCCTTTCTTGCAGGCCATTTGCATCACCTCGGCAGTTCTTACACAGTACTTCCTGATGGCTGCTTTCTGCTGGATGCTAGTGGAAGGAATCTACTTTTACTTGTTTATTGTGAACGTTTACAACATCAGCAATAGGTTGATAGTGTATCACGTCATGTCATGGGGTATTCTCCTTTAATCTATAATGACTTTTATTATTGTTAGCGCTGATCTACTGTATTTTGAATCGATTTATTGCTGATATGATTTCACGCTAACTTTGACCTCTCCCTCTCTTTGTGTGAAGGTTTCCCCGTCATTATGGTCAGCACTTCTCTCAGCATCGCAATTGGAAAAGGAGGGATTCAAAGCTACACCAGCAATAAATAGTAAGAAACAAAGTTTACGTTAATTTTACCTTCTGTTTTGCTTCCTCTCCATGTTTTGGTTTATCTCTGATTTGGGTTTCCTTTTTTTTTTTTTTTTTTTTTAATTAAATCACTTATATTTGTTTTTCGTTTTGCTGAAACCTGTCTTTTTGCTTTTTTTGCGAAGTTGTTCATTTCCTCTTTCGTTCTTTCTCCCCCAACCCCTTTCCGCCTTCAAATACTACCATCTCTTTAAGTCTTTTTTTCTTTTTTTCTTTAGGAAGCATGGCGCACTATTTGTCCACATTCCCCCTGATATTTTTTTTGTTTTTCCTTTTTGTTTTATTCTATCGTCATTTTAGTTGTTCTCAATTATGAGCTGTGATTTGATTTTCGTTTGATTTGGTTTGAGATTTTTTGCCAGTTTCTCGTTCCCTCAGCTTTGTCTTTCCTCTTTTCTTCTTTTTTAGTTGTTGGTTGTCGTCAGCTTATGACTTGATCTGGATGTTTGTCGCATTTCTGACGGCAACTGGAGTTGTAAGCTTAAAATCATATTTTGCAATTCAATATCAAAACTGCAACTTTATAATAAGATACTTGACCTATAGCACATGCACGTTGCTTCTTTGTTGTTTTTTTTTTACTCTAATTTATTTATATCTATATTTTCATTTTAGTTTTTGTTTCGCTTTGATTTTTTAGCTTGGCAGTTTTATACTCGTACGTGTCACAAGGGAGTTGAACACGTTGCCGCAAATAGGAGCCAACAAGATTCAGCGAGTCCGGTTAGATGGAGCGTTATATCGTTTCTTTTTTTTGTTAATTGTTTCAAAAGGATTTTAATTGGGCAACTATCCACTTCAGTAGCTGTTAACTTATCTTCCGGACATCTTTTCTTAACTTGATTAAAATTGGCACATAGATATACGAGACATTAAATGACAAGTGAAGTGTGGTTTAAGGGTTGATATTAGCTGAGGGAGAATTCAGGCTTCTAAGTTGAAGAAGGAGAGTTTAGTAAACTCACTATTTATTTTCCAATCGAGTCTTATTTTCTATTCTCCTGCCATGTTTGATAATCAAGGGCAAGCCAAAAATTAAAGTGGAAAAGTGAGAAATCTAAAAACGTTCACCATGTTAAATGGGGTCACTACCCTTTCCCCGCCCCAGCAGCGACATTTGCATACGTATCCCATAATTTTAACATCATCTTTTAGACGACCTGACAGGCTATCTATCTTTCCAAAATAGCGTAAAGCAAGGGTTCAGGGTTCCAACCACCCCTCACCCCGCCATCTCGTACCAAAGTTGTAGTAAGGGTGCACCTGTACGTTCGAGGGTTAAGATGGCACCATTTGCATGATTTTATATTTGATTATGACGATGAGAGCTAAAGTTATTTGAAAACTGGAAATAATTATCATTTGTCCTCTTTTAGACTTGGCATCAGAACATGTGTTCTGATGATTCCCCTTCTTGGCATCACGTGGTTGTTTGGTCTTCTGTCGCCACTACACAAGGCTTTCACTTACATCTTCACCATTCTCAACTCTACTCAGGTTTGCTGTAAATTTCCTTGGTAAAATCAAGATAGCCTTGCTAATAAAAGTTAGAGCTTGAAGCTTCTAAAAACACGAAAAAAATCCATCTATCAGTCAATCAATGTAGTAATAAGACCGTCAGTCTCTAGTTAGTCCTTCCTCCTATCCATCGATCAGTCATTCCTTCAGTTTTTTAATCATTTTGATAGCCGTTTAGCTAATGAATAATATCATCAGTCAGTCAATCCTTCGACCGTCTGTTTTTCTCCCTTCAAAAACTTATAAGTAAAGTTGAGTTGAGTTAATAACTGCCCTGTTTCGCAAATATCTTTTTACTTGTCATGATATTATATTTAAAACAAAAAAAAAATGACTTATTATCCATAATTATATTTGTATTGTAGGGTGTCCTGATTTTCATCCTGCACTGTCTGAGAAATAGTCAGGTAAGATCGAAACTAAAAAAAAAATTATCGTAACATTTTGCAAATCGTGACAGAATGTGGCCCACTTGAATAACCGGATTCTAGAACTCAGCAACTGATTCATGTTACCTTATGTTTATTAACAGATAAGGGAGCGATTGCGAGGCAAAATTAAAACAGCGATTGATCAGATTAGAGCTCCAATGAAAGCTCGAACGAACGCTGTTTTCCCATCTCCAAACGACAGACGCTTAACCAAATGTTAAGATGAATCCAACTGATGGTGGTGCAGTTTGGGCAAATAAATTGCATCCATTCGACTAATATGAATTGAAATAGGAATATCATTAAGTAATGGATTCAATAGGCGGCGGGTCAAAGCCGATTGTTATGTACTATGAATTTTTAGGCCACGATAATTCTGCAGTCGCAACTAATCAGTCTCCATTGTCCTTCTGCTTAGTTGGATTGTTTTTGTAAATTAGAAAAAAGGAAAATAAGTCTTTCATGGGGAGGCAGAGGCTGGAGACGATTTTTTATCAGAGTAATTAAGTGACTCAGCCTATCGCAGTCTTAAACTGAAGTAAGTTAGGGGATTAGGTCTGAGTCAATAGAACGGTTAACCACTCGGCAATTCAACATCATTTATTTAGCTAAATATGTGAAAGCTATATACTTTACTTATGTATGAATCGGAGCCAGATGTTAGCCGGATTACGTACATTTTAGGATAGACTTGTAGACATTATTGTACAGAGCAAGACTCCACCACGCTTTGAAAAGCTTTACGTTATATTGTTATCGTTAGACAGGAAAATAAAATGCTACTAAAAAGAGAAAAAATTGACGGTTGTCTGTAACAAGAGTTTACCCAAATGCATTAATGCGAAATAAAACTATTCCTGGTTCCCAATCCTTGACATCAAAAAATTTATTGCATGGCTAAAGTCATGTTGGGAAGAACGGTGCAAGGAGGGTACTAAATAATGGGGACTGTTTCCTTTAAGATACCATGCAACCGGGGTGGGCAGAACTCTATAGGTCAGGCGTTACCAGAAACGTTTGCTTATAAGACAAGGCGGCGTGAACGAGGAAAAAGCCCCCTTTTAAATGCATTCCAGGTCATCTATTGCTTATTGAGGCGACAAGGTTTGAAAAATCGGAACAGCATATTCATTAGTACATCTTGTCCAGCTGGTGTTAAACCTTACTAGGTGGGCCTTAAGACATTATTTAACCGGGGAAATGCGGTGGAGTAGAACCTTTCTCTACCACCATCCAAGAAAGGTGGCTGGTAAAAATGTCTCCGAGTAACTAAGGGTGACCCACAGCTAATGACATTCTCCAATCACGGGGTGTGGTTTCAAATTGTTCTTAGCGAAATATATTTGTAATAATGATCCTTCAAATATCTCTGCTCGCGCTCAATTGGCCCAAACGCGGTGGGTGATATTCGAGAATATTATCTAAGCGATATTCCCCAATGTTTAAAGTTTATGTCCAGTGCGATAAGTTTTCGTTTCAAAATGAGAGAGGGTTTCTGGTTGTTGCAGAAGAAGGGGAATCTTTTTTTGTTCATTAAGTCGTACCTGAGGATACCCAAAGAAAACAAAAGAAAACATCCCGAAGTAAGCAAGGGAAATATGTACGGATATCGGGAGCTGTATGACATTACGATGACATTATCTGTTACAAGATGCAAATAATTTTCGTGAGCAAAACTCTAGGAAAACTGTTAGCCGACTGGCCAAATTAAATAGAGGCTACTGTTTATATATACAGATATACCTTTGTCAAGGCAAAGCTCGAAATTTCTCTTCTAAAATCGGTTCCTTTCGTAACAACCTCCGATATCGTTGTATTTTGGAAATATTTCCACACGAGAACACTATGAGGAGCTGAATCGGTCACATAGACTAGAGCCCTAATTTAGTGCTCTGAGGAAAGCCCGGACAGGAAAGGCCCCATGATAGAAAGCCAGCTGCCACGAGTTTATTTATTTAGGCATGTGCAGACTAGGATTATAATGGCAGCTATGGATCCTAAACCTGTAAAGTTGCAAGAAAATATAATTTTGACGTTCAAGAACCTGAAGGTAACAACGAAAACAAAGTTATACTTAGTGGGTTCAGTTTAGATCAGTTTCAGTTGAAATTAGTTTCGGCTTAGTTGATGCATCATTTAAAAGAGATTAAACTTGAATCAATTCTCAGAATGACCCAAGAGAGAAGCATTGTATGTTCTGGAGTTGCCTGAGCAAAAGGTAAAAAGGGAAAGCAACTGACATTACCATCACCAATAATAATATCACATAAAATAATCCATTTGTTCCTTGCTTTTTTCTGGATTGACTGAATTTCTTATTGCAAGGAAGACTTAATATTATCGATCACACGATCACTTGTTCGTGTAACGGTCCAACTAGTAGGAGCAGTCTTGAAAGGAAGTGCGGAATGTGGTTGTTGATAATTGGCAGAAGTCTGACCGATGAGTTTTCACAAGATATCAATAAAGGGACTATACTTTGAGTGTTAATCTCGATTTCCTCCGCTGGTTATCACCCCTAATTAACCTTGATTCTAAGTGGCGAACTCAAAACCCACCAAAGCCAAAAGCCAAGCGATACGTTGAAAAGACATAAATAAGCCTTGTCACGAGCAATCAAATTGATGCTGCTTACCAGCTCTGAATCCAGGCTTCGATATCCAACCGGCTTAAGCGAATAATCCCAGTAAGTAGAATAAATAATGTTTCAGATTTCATCGTATAAATTTCCCATTATTTTAAGCATTTAATGGTTTAATTATCTCGTTATATTTTTCAGTCAAGATGGATTTTCGAAAGATGGATGTCATGTAGTTACATCCCGAAGCAACTTAAAAGAAACAGTCTGCAGCTGCAATCATTTGACTCATTTTGCTGTCTTAGTTGACTACAGTGGTGACAGTGTGGTATTACGTTTTTCAATATTGCTTTAAGCATTGATGATCATATGTTCGTTAAGTTGATAACGATGTTATTCCCTCTGTTTCTGATTTGTTACACAGCTGTCCCAGAATGACGAAGATATTTTGGAGATCATCACCTATATAGGATTAAGCCTTTCCATTATCGGAATGATTCTAACCATAATCATTTATTCTTTGTTTACGTGAGTAATAAATGTCAAGTTTCTTATGCCTTTGATTGGTTAAAACTATCAAAGAAATATAGAAATCACCGTGGTATATTTTCTTCTTAAATTAGAGATGTTCATAAACCTCTCACTCAAATACGACTGAGTCTCGCCGCATCGCTCGGAGCTGGTCAAATAAGCTTTCTCGCTGGAATGCACGCTATGGAAAACCCAGTGAGTAACTTCTACTCACATTCACATTAATTAATCTTATCACTGCCTCATCATAAACATTATCACGACCTTTCTTTTTTATAATTTTTTTGGTATGTAGTTCGAATTTGAAATTTATTAAATGAAACTATTATTAATTTTTTTAGAATTTATAAAGAACGAGAAAAAGAAAAGAGCTGGAAAAACCTTTTTTTTCCTTTTTTTCAGACCATTTGCATCACAGCGGCAGTTGTTACACAGTATTTCCTGATGGCCGCTTTCTGCTGGATGCTAGTGGAAGGAATCTACTTTTACTTGTTTATTGTGAAAGTTTACAACATCAGCAATAGGTTGATAGTGTATCAGGTCGTGGCATGGGGTATTCTCCTTTAATCTATAATTACTTTTATTACTGTTAGCACTTACCTATAGTATTTTGAATGGATTTATTGCTGATATGATTTCACGCCATCTTTGACCTCCTGCTCTCTTTGTGTGTGAAGGTTTCCCCGTCATTATGGTCAGCACTTCTCTCAGCATCGCAATTGGAAAAGGAGGGATTCAAAGCAACACCAGCAACAAATCGTGAGAAACAAAGTTTACGTTAATTTTACCTCTTATTTTGCTTCCTCTCATTGTTTTGGTTTATCTGTGATTCGGTTTCCTTTGTTTAAAGAAAAAATTAAAAAATTAAAGAAAAATTACTTATATTGTTTTTCGTTTGGCTGAAACCTGTCTTTTTGTTGTTTTTGCTAACTTGTTTATTTGCTCTTTCGTTCTTTCTCTCACACTCCTTTTCAGCCTTCAAATACCATCATCTCTTTAATTCCCTTTTTCGTTTTTCTTTTGGCAGCATAGCGCACTACTTGTCCACATTCCCCCTGATATTTGTTTGTTCTTCCCTTTTTTTTTTATTCTATCGCCGTTTTAGTTGTTCTCAGTTATGAGCTGTGATTTGATTTTCATTTAATTTTGTTTAAGACTTTTTGCTAGTTTCTCTTTCTCTTAGCTTTTTCTTTCCTCTTTTCTTCTTCTTTAGCTGTTGGTTGTCGTCAACTTATGACTTGATCTGGATATTTGTCGCATTTCTGACGGCAATTGGAGTTGTAAGCTTAAAATCAGATTTTGCAAGTCAATATCAAAATTGTAACTTTATAATAAGATACTTGATTATAGCACATGCACGTTGCTTTATTGTCGTTTTTCTTTTCTTTTCTATATATTCATTTCTTCATTTATTCACTTTTTGTTTTGCGTTGATTTTTTTAGCTTGGCAGTTTTATACTCGTACGTGTCACAAGGGAGTTGACCACGTTGTCGCAAACAGGAGCCAATAAGGTTCAGCGAGTCCGGTTAGATGGAGCATTATATTTTTTTATTAATTTTTTCAAAAGGATTTTAATTGGGCAACTGTCCACTTCAGTAACTGTTAACTTATCTTGCAGACATATATTTTCTGACAACTTAATGAAAATTGGCATATAGATATACGAGACATTAAATGACAAGTGAAGCGTGGTATAAGGGTTGATATTAGCTACGGGAGAATTCAAACTTCTAAGTTGAAGAAGGAGAGTTTAGTAAACTCACTATTTATTTTCGGATCGAGTCTTATTTTCTTTTCTCTTGCCAAGTCTGATAATGATGGGCAAGCCAAAAATTAAAGTGGAAAAGTGAGAGATGTAAAAACGTGCACCATGTTAAATAGGGTCATTACCCTTTCCCCGCCCCAGAAGCTGCATTTGCATATGTATCCCATAATCTCAACATCGTTTTGTAGACGAACTAACAGGCTATCTATAAAAGGTGAAAACTTTTCAAAATATCGTAAATTAAAGGTTCCGGGCTCCAACAACCCCCCCCCCCCTCCGAGGGTTGACAGGGCACCATGTGCATGAGCTTCTATTTGGTTGAAACGTTGAGAGATAAAGTTACCTGAAAACTGGAATCAACTATTATCTGTCCTCTTTTAGACTTGGCATCAGAACATGCGTTCTGATGATTCCCCTTCTTGGCATCACTTGGTTGTTTGGTCTTCTGTCGCCACTATACAAGGCTTTTACCTACATCTCCACCATTCTCAACTCCACTCAGGTTTGCTGTAAATTTCCTTTGTTAAATGAGGATAGCTTTGCTAATAAAAGTTAGAGCTTGAAGCCTCTAAAAACGCGAAAAAAATCCATCTATCAGTCAATCGATGTAGTAATAAGACCGTCAGTTTCTAGTCAGTCCTTCCTCCTATCCATCTATTAGTCATTTCTTCCGCAAAGGTCTCTTTATGTGTCATGATATAACATTAAAATCAAAAAAGTGACTTATCATCCATAATTATATTTTTATTGTAGGGTGTTCTTATTTTCATCCTGCACTGTGTGAGAAATAGTCAGGTAAGATCAAAACCTAAAAAAGAAAAAAAAATACCAATACGGAATGTGGCCGGATTTTAGAACTCAGCAACCGATTCATGTTACGTCATGTTTATTAACAGATTAGGGAGCGATTGGGTGACAAAATTAAAACAGCGACGATTGGTCAGATTGGAGCTCGAATGAAAAGCGAGAAGGAACGCTGTCTCCCATCTCCGAACGACAGAAGCTCAACCAAAAAGAATCTAAAGATGAATCCAACCGGTGCAGTTTGGGCAACTAAATTGCACCCATGCAGCGAATATGAGTTGAAATAGGAATATCATTAAGTAACGGATTCCAATAAGCGGCGGGTAAAAGCCAATTGTTATGTACTGAGATTTTTTTGGGCCACGATAATTCTCCAGTCGCAACTGATCAGTTTCCATTGTCCTTCTGCTTGGTTGGATTGTTTGTTTGTTTTTTTTAATTAGAAATTAAATTAATTAGAAAAAAAAGAAAATAAGTCTTTCATGGGTAGGTAGAGTCTGGTGACGTTGGGTGATCCGGCCTATCGTTGTCTTAAGCTGAAGTAAGTTAGAAGATTAGGTCTGAGTCAATAGAACAGTTAACCCCTCGCAATTCAACATTATCTATTTAGCTAAATATGAGTGCTACAAACTTTACTTATATATATCAATCCCAGCCAGATGCTGGATTACGTACATTTTAGGATAGACTTTTAGACATTATTATACAGTGCAAAAGACTCCAACAAGCTTTGAAAAGGTTATACTGTTATCGATAGACAGGAAAATAAAAAAAAGAAAAAAAGAAAGAGACTACTGTTAAGGAGAAGAGGATTATGTAGGATCCGAATAAAATGCAATTGAAATGAGAAAAATTGACGGTTGTCTATAACAAGAGTTTACACAGACGCATTAATGCGAAATAAATTTATCCCTTGTTCCCAGTACTTGACTTTAAAAAAAAAAAAAAAAAAAAAAAAAAAAAGTTATTGCATGGCTAAAGTTATGTTGGGAACAATGCAAGGAGGGTACTAAATGATGAGGGCTGTTTCCTCTAAGATACCATGCGACCGGGATGGGCAGAACTCTATAGGTCAGGCGTTGCCAGAAACGTTTGCTTGTAAGACAAGGCGGCGTGAACGAGGAAAATGCCCCCTTTTAAATGCATTCCAGGTCATCTATTGCTTATTGAGGCGACAAGGTTTGAAAAATCGGAACAGCATATGCCAAAAGTCCCCCGGGAGTTTGTATGCATTCCAAGTCATCTGTTGCTTAAAAAACTGGAACAGCATATTTATTAGTACACCTTATCCAGCTGGTATTAAACCTTACTAGGTAGGCATTAAGACATTGGTGCATATTATTTACCTAGGGAAATACGGTTGAGTAGAACCTTTCTCTACCACCCTCCAAGAAAGGTGGCTGGTAGAAATGTCTCCAAGTAACTTAGGATGACCCACAGCTTGTAGCATTCTCCAATCTTGTGGTGTGGTTCAAATAATTCTTAGTGAAATATATCTGTATTAATGATCCTTCGAATATCTCTGCTCGCGCTCAATTAGCCCAAACGGATAACGTGACCGAATATCTCCCAACTGAAACTGGGAGAATATCACCTAAACGACATTCCCTAATTTTCAAAGCTTACATCCACTGGGATAAGTCTTTGTTCAAAATTAATTCGAGATGAGAGAGGGTTTGTGGTTGTTACAGAAGAAGGGAAATCTTTTTTTTGTTCATTAAGTCGTACCAGAGAATACCCAAAAGAAAACAAAAGAAATCATCCTGCAGTAGGCAGGGAAAATATGTACGGATATCGGGAGCTGCCCGCGAACATTAACTGTTCCAAAATGCAAACAATTTTCGAAGCTCTAGGAAAACTATTAGCGGAATAGCCAAATTAAAAAAGGTTGTTGTTTATATATACAGATTTACCTTTGCCAAGGCAAAGCTGGATATTTTTCTTCTAAGTTCGGTTTGTTTCGAAAAAACCTCTGATACCGTTGTATTTTGGATATATTTCCATAAGAGAGCATCATGATGAGCTAAATCCGTAAACATAAGCCAGAGCCCGAATTTGGTGCTCTGAAAAAACTCTGGACAGGAAAGGCCCTATGATAGAAACCACACGGGCTCGTTAAAGCATGACTAAGGAGGCTTGTTTGTGTTAGAAGTCTGGAATCACTTGGGAAGAATATGGTAAGAAATGTTTTATCACTGCTTCCTTTTTAACGTTGTTCAAAGGTGTTGCTTGTAACTGTTGTGCGAAGCGTGTGAAATTTAAATCGTTTTGTGTTGTTATAGAATCTTTCTTTTGATCAGCGTAATCTGTGTTAAGTTCCAACTTACAAACGTTGAGAGAAAGGGACATTTGTAAGAGGAAAAGTATTTGTTAGCTTAAGTTAAAATCATGTTTCATAAAGGAAATTATGATTTTGTTCTGAAAAAAGAATTCAGGTGAACCGTTGCCCTTTTATCAAAAGTCCTAATATGAAAGTTAACCATGGGAACTAATAACTAGACAAAAAATTATTGCAAAGTTCTTTCATGTGTTAGTGAGACTCATCTTTTAGTGGGTAGCACCACAGGCCTAGTTCACAAGACAAGGTGTAAAAGCTTTGTAGTCTTACTTGTTTATATACATTATAATATAATTTTCTGTGTGGCAATTAGTTGTTATTTACACATGCAACAACGATTTCAAGTCAGAAAATGGCTAGTATACATTTTAAATGAATTAAGTTGTTCATCATTAAATATAGCTAAATGTGATTGCTTCACTATTCAATTTCCCATACTAGAACAATATGCTACAACAAAATGACACATGAAATGATAAGCTTTAAGGTTCTTGAGTTTAAAGATAATCATGGTTTTCTCCCTCCTTGCGCTACTCAAAAAGAATACAGTGATTCTTAACTTTTCCTCAAGGATGTCACTAAAGAGGGCCTCATTTGTACAATGCAGTAATTAGTTTGAAAATCACTTGAGTAGAAGATTTAATTCGCTGGACATTATCCATCATGCACTTGGCAAATGTTACATTTTGAGCTCATTTTGTTCAATGAATCCTTTAGAAGCATAAATAAATTGATGACTTAAAAATTGCTGTACAAAATTAAACATTGTAATATGACTAATCATGTTGTTGCTGTTCTTTTCTGGATTTCTTCCATGTTAAATTGCCTTCAGGCATGTTCTGGATCTACATACATGTAGGATACTCATAATGATTTATCAGTTAGACTGTTATATTAAAGTTCCTCAAAATGGTATGTATTAAATAATATTTTTGGTGCTTTTTCATGCTTACAGTACATGTGGAACCTACTGAAGATAGCTTTTCTTTGGACTTAATGTTTAGGACTGTAAATATTAATCAATTAATCAAAAAATATTATGCAAATCACAAAATATCAGCACGTATTATAAAACATTGAGTAAGGTGTATTTATTTAGGAAGGTGGATAGTGATCTTCCATATTTTCAGGAGCTCCATGGCAACTTTATTTTTCCTCCATGTTTTTGGTATAACTGGATCTTTTTTCATGTAGTTTTCTGTGGGATTTTTTTTTGAAGACTTTCTTGAAGTTGGCTGACCACTCAACAATTGCTTCATTTATTTCCTTGTATTGCTTTAGAACTTGTACTTGAATGTGTGCCAGGTGATTTAAGAAGTGTTCTTTGTGGTATCTTGAACTTGAATTTTTTGTTGCATTTTTTTTAAAGTTTTTCATATAACATAACATCTTTGGTTGTGCTAAGAATCTCTTAAAGAGCTTTTGCTGTTTTTCTGGATGTTAAAAAATCTTCAGATAATTTTGGTTTCTTAACCAGTGGTTCACCTGTATCATTTTGCACTGTTTCACTCAGCTGTTGTGGTTCCGGAATCTTTTCATTTTCTAGGTTTTCACTTCTGTCTTCTTCATCAATTAATAGAGTTGTATCCTCAGCTTCCTTGTCACATTCACTGTCACTCTTGAATGACTGATCTTGAACTGGCAGATTCTGTTGCATGCATTCTTCTCCATCATAATTTTCTTCATGGGGAATTCTGGTAGCTGGGATTTTGATTCCGCTTCGAATACATTCTTCCCAGCAGTGTTGAAAGAAAATTTTTCTCCATTCTGATATTGGAGAAGTGAAAGTGGTGAAGGGAAGGTCCTTGCTCCCTGAATTCAATTTCCTCAGGGCCATCAAAGAACTCAATGCAGTCTTCATCCTCAATTTCTCTCCACCAGACTCCTTCTACTGGTACGAGGAAATCAGCAATAGACTGAAGGTGAGCCTCCCAGTGCCTAGCATGTGTGTTGATGACATCTTTGGGTAAAACTGTTTTTCCCAGCTTTGGTGGGGCTTTGCTCATGTTGCTGATTTCCTTTTCTTGCCTGATGATGCAGGTCGCAGCAGCTATTCAATAGCGCCTTACAATAACTGAAATAAACTAAAGTGCTTGGAAAACCTAACTGGTAGGAGGCAGATCAGTCAACCATTTACACAGCGCAGCCGACGAGTTTAACTCGGAGCGACCGAGGAGGGTGGAGGACTTGAACCCAGGACCACCAGGTTACAAGTCCAGCACCCAAACCACTCGTCCACGCCGCCTGCCGCGACATCATTGCCTATATGACCCAAGCAGAGTAGCTTAACGCTTACTGGTTAGGTCCCGATCCATACGTAAAGTCAGGTCCTTGTGCATGTTTCTTTTGAATTATTCATTTCAGAAATGAAGCATGGTGTCGGTAGTAAAAAAAAAAGTGAAAAAGAAAAACATTTGCCTTGCAATCAAAACCATTTAGGAATGAAGCAAAAGTCTTGAAACCCAATTGATGCGGAACTTTTTTAAGTTGTTGATAACAAAAAAGTAACTTCTTTTCCTACTGAAACGGTATTCTTGTTACTGAGAAGAATGAGGTGCACTGAATACATCACAAACGAGACAAGCCAGTCGTTACACATTCCTTTTTATTGAAATCAAAGATTACCATGGCAATGCATGTTAAAGGCTTTCAATCTACTTGTTTTTATGACTTTAAAACTTATTCATACATGTTTTTTCCTTTAGATTAGATAATCTTTCTCAAGCCTGTGAGATAAATTTAGAGTAATTAATACTTCTTAGATAACTTCACAGGAGAAGTCATGACGAGTGTCTTACGAAATAGAGGAAGTCGGGGAGGTTTTTCGGCCCATGCTAATGCATTATCGGCCCTGCTATTTGATGGTTCTTGCATCGTTATTCGACATACTTTCCCAAGTGAGAGAAGGAATGTGGTTGATGTGGGAGAACCATTCTTTTGACAAATTCTCGCCAGCATTGCTAAGCTTTCAATTGCAGTTTTGAAAGATTTTCTTACAACTATTTTTTTCGCTCTGTTTTCTCTTAAAGAACAATGAATTATGCATAATGAAGTATTGTCTTATTCGGAAATATAGCCACACTTTTTTCACTCGTAAGGTCGAAGCAGGATGAACAATCTATCATTGGAAGAAACTAAATTAACAACCGAAACCTAGATTTGGGGTCATGGGATATAGAAGATAGCTAGTGCCCGAAAATGTTCGTAAATTTTAGGTCAGTTGTGATATTTTAATGCTAAAGTTCACACGCTCTTTTCATCACGCTTCTGGTAAGAGATCTACGAAAATATTATAGCCAGGATAGACATAAACTCAACCAGTCCGGGCCATAGACAGCTTTGTCTATACCACGACGTCATGAAACATGGCGTCAAGGTCCAATTTTTAAAACTTAGGTTAGCCCCAGATTTAAGCCTCGTATTTTTGTCTCTGATATTTATGGAGCCTGGGACCAGTTTACGTTATGTAGTATAGAAAGAGCTTCGCGTCAATGGCAATTTAAATGGCGTCGATTTAAATGAGTGGGAGAAATCCCAATTTAAAGTTGAGCTGCGATGACTTTGGGACGGTTGAGGACAAACATGCCATCAATATCATGTAAATTTAAGGTATGTTTGACTATTTTTCGGAAAAAAGACAAATATTACGGTGAAGTCCATATATGTGCTTCCCATTTATGAAACAGAAGTAGAGTGAACGTTTGTTTAGTCCCCGTGCACGGCCGTGGTTGTTGTGACAAGTTGTCTTATGCCGTCATGGCCTCTGCCATCGGAAAATCAAATACGCTACAAACGATTTTGAGCTAAGCATTTTATTTTATTCAAATCAAAGAGTGTCATTTAAATGTAAATTAAACGTTTTTAACTTAGTTCCTTCAAACTTTACTCGTTGTTCATATAAACGCAAAGAAACTCAGCAATAGAAAAAAAGGTCTTTGTTTCCTCCAGATTACAAGATCCTTTTCAAGCCTGCAAGATAAAGATCCCATGCTTCAGGCAAAAGTTTCGAAAAGTTAGATTTAGTGTAACTGTCAATTGTTTAAAGTTCGAGCATAAAAAAATGATTTGATTTTTCTTTAAATTCCCAGTTCGGTGGTTGCAGCAATACACGAATTACCCAAGCGAACGCCTATAAAAGACAGTTTTGGACGATTATTATAACTTAGTTAGAAACTTAGCGAAGCCTTAATCTCACCCAAATCCTGTCTTAGACTATTTTCGTCGAAAACTTACACTTCGTTCTCTTACCGTTTTAAGCCACCTTATCTCTGTCCTTGTGACTAGTTTCGATGAATTAACCAAATCTCCGTCTTCGGCGGCGACGGCGACGGCGAAACGCTCGCCTCAGTAGGCGCAAACCTATGAAAGGTAGAATCGGATCGGCTGATTTCTGCATTGGACCGGATAAGGGTTTATCATGTTTTTCTTCAACACTGTAGCCATTTATCTTTTCCCTCTCCTCTTCTGGCTCCTCATCGTCTCCGTCCTCTTCCTCACCATTCCAGTAGAACTCACTTTGGTCAAATAGATTAGCAAATATCAGTTTTGTCGAATCCGTATTCCAAATTTATAAAGTTCATTAAAAAAAACTCGTATTATTAAAGGCAAAACAGAATACCAAGAAAAAATTTCATTTTACCTCTCTAAATCGCCTCTAGCGTCATTGTTTTCATCATCATCAAACGAAAGCGCTAAGCCTATAGCGAGCACCAATCCAAAAAGGGCTATCAACAGCAGCTTGTTCATCTCGAAGTCTTCTGCGATGATCAATTGTGGATCCAAATGACTTAATTTATACCCTTTTGAATGGGGCGTTGACACCCCTTTTTTGGTCCTAAAACATGAACAAATTCTAAATATCAGCTGCAAATAGTTGTAATAATATCATGAGCTGAAAGTATTCGCAAGTACCTCTTGTACGCTTGTAAGCGTCCCGATCAAAACATGATCCCAATGCAGTCTCCCAATGCCAGCTATTTATAACTACTAAAAATGTACAACGTTCAATATTTTTCACAGTCTTTCTTCTCATGTCTTTCATAACGCGCATTTTGTTTTGGTTGATTTGTGTTCTATATATCACTTTTTGTCCCCCATATTGTAAGTGAATGTTCTTTACCCTACAAAGAAATCTCCTGGACTCAGCTTAATGTCGAACTAAGTTAGGGTGAAATAAGATTTTTGGAGATTTTCGCGAAAATACTGTATGAAGTGGAGATGTATTGATTCTGTGGAGTTGGAAAGAATATGGTGGGAATAGCTGTGTTTGACGTCATACATCGCTTCCTAACGAGCCTAACTTCTCCGGTTTATTAGTGTTATGACATTTTTTTTTAAATTTGTTTTTCTGATACAAATATTGGAATATCAGTTTTCGTTACTTGACAGTGTTTATCTCATCTGAAAACTTAGAGACTCCAAACAATATCAATTTTTTTTTCTGAATACTTCTAAAAAATTCCTCACAATTATTTGAGAAATTACTTTAATTACTACACTAAAAGGTAAATAGGGTATTTCAAGACTATAAAGTGATAACAATACACCATTAAAGACATTCACTCTTAAGTTGCACGGTGCACTTCCCATAATTGACGCCATTCTTAAAAGAGGAAAATCTAATGATATTTTTGTCACTCGTATATTTTTATTAAACAAAAAAATTGTATTGACCTTTAGCCTGATACCCTTAACGTTTTTCTTACTATTATATTTGACGAAGGAACGTTTTTGACCATTCGTCGATGGATTTAATGTGCGTCTGTTGATTCCCTCTAATCATATCTTCATAATATATTTCTTAATTTATCGTTCATACTTTTATTTTATGTTGGTACATATCTTTGCTTTTTTTTTTCAGATTTTCAAAAATAATTAATCTTAAAAAATAGTAAAACAAAATTAGACCAAAAACCACAAATAATAAAAATCCGGCAGGAGTATTTCAATGGTGAGTTACACAAAATAAGCCTAGAAATAGAATACTTGACGGCTTGACTATTATTTCTGACATGGGAATGATGGAAGCTGCTGAAAATCTTAAATGGACAACAAATCACCAATAAATAGATTAGTAATAACATTTTCCCGCTTTCTTCCGATACAACTTAGAAGACGATGAGTTAGAATAAGGAAAAACAAATTTTGGAAGTCAGAGTCAAAGTGAGAATTGTCGATCGACCGACATTCAATTTTATAATCGTAAAAAGTTGTATTAAAAAAAAAAAAGGACGAACAAAAAAAAAAACATCAGCCATCATCGAATTTCCACTGTGCTTTTAAACCCTCACCACCCACTAAGGTTACGTACTGAATTAAACTTTAGAGAAAGCATGGAGTTTCTTTTTGGCTTTTTGACATATAACGACGCAATACATGTGTTGTTGTACAATGCAGTCTCCCACAGCCAAGTATGGTAAGAGTTGCTCTGTGTTAGATGCCATACATCGCTTCCTAATGAGCCTAGCTTTTCCGGTTGATTATGTCTCATCATATCATTTTATGCGTTTGTTTTTCTGCTAGAAATATTAGAATATCATTTTTCGTCGCTTGACAGTTTTCATCTCATGTAATGGCTTAGATACTCAATATCAAAAATTACCTTTATTTTTAAACATTTACAAAATTTCCTCACGCATTTCCTGCGAAATTAACTCAACGTACCGGCTAGATGCATGGCGTATTTCAAGACTACACTGGCTACACCATTTAGGACATTCACTCTCTCTGAGAAGCTGCACGTTGCACTTCCCATAATCGCCGCCTTTCTTAAAAGAGGAAAATTTAATCATTTATTTGCTAGTCGTATGTGTTTCCTCTCAACAAAATTGTATTGACCTTCAGCTTGATACCCTTAACGTTTCCTATCGCCCTCTTGACAACGTCTAAACTTATCGGTTATTGCATTGTAAGTTAAGTTTATAAAATATAAATAAAACATGCAACTAAGTAATCTTCTCCACCTTTAGGAATCGGGAGAGTCCTCAGGAAAAAAAAAGTGCATCCAGGTTTTGAATAAACAGTATAATACTTGTTCGCGCAAAGATCTTCGTTCCTCAGTTGTGCGACAGAATTAGCTACATAATATAAGTGGCAATCGAATATTAAAACGAGGGCAGGGAATTCCATGGAAATGGGAATATCCTTAAAGGTGAGAAAAGAATAAAAAGCAACACGGAAAAGGAAATGAATGAATAATCATTGACGAGTATTTCTCATAGAATTTGAGATCTACATCTTTTCTCCTTTTTTCGTGTTTCTCACTTGTATCTTATGTTGTGGAGGGTCATTGATATTTTTTGTGTATTGTTAATCCCTTTTGGAGTTATTAAAATTTTGATCATCGGTCACAAGCATTTATGTTAGCGAAGACTTTTCTTCCACTTTGTTTTTGAAGCTCGTACGTGACCTCCTTAATACAGTGATTTTCAAAACGCCCTCTGTTTTTATTAGGTCTTGTTTAGTTTTGTTTGTTTTTGTTATTGTTGTTGTTTTTATGCGAATGAATGTTTTCTTTCCCTTTCCATCCTGATTTCAATTGGAGAAAATCATTTTCATTCGGTTTTATGAAAAATCTTAAGGGTTTGTTTGATTTGCAGGGAATCCTGTTCCCAGAGATTGGCAAGGAGCTCTAAAATTTTCTTTTGGATTTGGTCCTGGTTTTCGGACGCCTAACAGCACCGCGCGACTTCATGTTAATAACGCAGTAGAAATAAAATCCATTTATAATGTTATTGGAACAATTTATGGTCGTGAGGAACCAGACAGATACGTATTAATCGGCAGTCATCGAGATGCTTGGTTTTTGGGAGCCGCTGACCCTTCGAGTGGCACCGCAGCTCTATTGGAAATATCGCGCGCTGTCAGCAAGATGCTTCGAGAAGGATGGAGACCTCGACGAACCTTGAAGTTCTGTAGTTGGGGGGCGGAGGAGTTTGGCCTGATTGGCTCAATAGAATGGGTAGAACAAAATCAGAAGATTCTATCCGATAGAGCCGTTGTTTATTTGAACACAGACGTGGCCGTTGGTGGCAATTACGTATTGGCAACCCAAAATTGCCCCCTTCTCTCGACAGCCATATTTGATTGGGCCAAGAAAGTCAAAGATCCCAACGCACACGGGAATAAAACAAGCCTGTATGACATAATGGTGGAAAGAATGCCTTCACCCAACAATCCCAGCGAGCCCTATGTTGTACCTTACTTTTTTCTCAGTGATTACGTCCCTTTTTATATGTATCTGGGGATACCTTCCGCCGATTTCAGCTATTTCTATGGGCCTGGAATGGAACTGTACCCTGTCTATCACACGCAAGAAGACAACTTTTACTGGATGAAAACATTCATCGATCCTAAGTTTGAGTTTCACGAGGCTGTTACAAAATTTGAAGGAGGCTTACTGATAGAACTGTCAGACATCTCTATTTTACCATTCGATGTCAAGCGTTACGCAAATGCTCTACTCGCCGGGTATAACGTACTACCCGCAAAAATGCATAGCGAAACACTTCCGACTAAATACATTCAAAGAGCAATTTATGACTTTATGAATGCCAGCCATACTTTCGAACGAGCCAAGTCAAAAATTAATCTGAAAACTGCTGATCCATTGCGCGTGCGCATGGTCAATGATCAAATGGTGCAAATTGAGAAGGCTTTCATCAGTTCTTCGACGCTTTCCGAAAGTTTTATATCCCGACACTTGTTTTCGCGCACAGCTTTACCTTTCCCAGGGGTGTTCCAGGCATATAAAGAAGGAGACATAAATGAAGTGAAAAAACAGATGACGTTAGTGGCGGAAGCCATCTCTTCTGCAACGAAAATCTTACAGCTGCCACCTCCTGCCTAAGGTAGTAGTAATAAGCTATGTCAGATTACACAAAAGAACCTTTTTTTTTTATTACCACGCTATGTCCTTTTTGTTAATTTATTGTAGACGACCTATAATTGTTTCATTGCAAAAACCTTTTTTGGAATAAAACAGAACAGATCAAACAAGGCAAAAAAAAAGCGGAGCAGAAACGAAAACAAAAACCAGACAAATAATAAAAAATTAATAATAAATAAATCAAAGGTTAAAAAACAACAACAACATGAAACAGGATATAAAATAGAACCTAACGCGCTTAAGGTCCCTTTCATGTTAAAGATCTAGGATCTCCTACAGGAAACTTTTTATTATCTGCGTCCCCTCCTTTTTATTACTTTATCGCAAAGCTCAAAAACTCGGTGAGAGCAATTGAGTTACATCATGAAGTAGCGCAGAAATACATTCTAAACAGACGCCTTTAGTATTATTATTATCATTATTATTATGATTTATTTCGTTGATAACGTAAATTATTTACCGTAAAGAGTTTAAAAGTTGACGTTTCAAGCGTTAGCTCTTTAATATCGCTCTGAAAAAGGGCTAACACTCAAAACGCCAGCTTTTAAACTCTTTACGGTGGCCGATCTACGTTATAAACGCAGTTGATAACACTAAATTTCCCTGTTTTACTCTCCCTAGGACGCAGTACCACAGTTTCTTCAAAAAATTACCCCCTTTACTCAAGGAGAGGCTTTCTGCGTCCCTATTTTTAACAAAGTCGTCAAGGTGACACTTAAATATACGTTAAATATCGTAAGTGCAGTTCTTGGTAATCATAGTGGCTACTGTTTTGCATTTTGTTTAGGTACTTGCTTAAAACAGTGAAGGTATAAAGTGAACATCTAGTCTGTTCTTTTACTTGCCTGGTTAAAGCTGAATGCAGTTTACATATCGCAGTATTATGTTTTTCTCCTGATGAGAATTTTGATTAAATATAGACCGTGATTTGTTCCACTTCATTCGACTCTTGCATGTTAAATTCATGTTTAGGCGCGAACAAAATTGATGTCTCTAAATGAAAGAGAAATGTAAGTAGACATAACTAAAGCAAATGTAACTATGAGTGCAAAAATTCAATTGTAGGCAAATGCAAGAAAAATTGATGAATAGAAAAGAATTAAAATGATGATTTACCCAGCTTGCGCTTTGTCTTGTCAACAGTTAAGGTGGTCTCTAATGACCTTATGAGTGACCGTAACCGGCCGTAAGACCCTAAACTCCAGTCCTGAGATGATTTTCGTTCCTTTCAACGAGTGTTTTACATACCCGAACGACATGATTGTTTTCACTCCGATTCAAAACACTTCCCATCATTGCTTTGGTGAATAATACAAAAAAGGAGGAGGCTTTAAAGTCACTTCTTTAAATACACGTATTGCTAGATTCTTGAAAAAAATATAAATCATAATGACCGTGAAAAAAGTTAATCTTAGAGACCACAAAATGAACTTGACCTAGTTTCGAACAAACTGTTTACATGTAAAGTTATAAACGTAAGTTTAATCATAGCTGCATGATGGTTCTCTCACTAATTTGTCCACTTGCACTTTTTACATTAAAATCTAAAAAATAAATCTATTCACTTGTGCATTTGCTGAATATCTATCCTCGAGATGAAACTGACTTTCTCATCTAGGCTGACTCCCACAAAGTACCCTTGAACTCTTTGACTGTCAAGTATCATCAATAACAACAATTAAAATACATGTCTAACAATCCCTACCCGCAAAGTAGCCGAGCTAATCGAAACAGGAGAGAAATAAACATTAAAATATATTCTTGGATAACAAGTTTGACCCAACAAAGGAAAGGACCAAGAGCGCATGCACACTTCAACAATAAAAAAACTGTACGATAAATGATAAATACGCCAATTAGGCATCACCTATCACAACTGTAATAAAGTTTACACACAGAAAGAAAATGAAACTTAAATATGTTAATTTTCTTAATTTATCATCTCAGTGTGGAGGTCAACATAAGTGTCCTCTCGCATCAAAATATTCAAGCAGCTGTGTATGTAATTACTTATATTTCTCTCTATTAAAACCTCACAACATCACCGATAATAACAATAATAACATTAAAAATAATGATGACAATAATTATAATTATAATAATTTCAATAATAACTATAATGATAAAGTAAAGGCCCTGTTTGAATCTTCGTACTCAGCATGTTCCCTGCACTTCAATGAAATACTCATTGATATGGAGAATGATATTTATAAACTAGCGGCCATTTACATCCGTAACAATTTCCCTCTTCTCAATTGTTCCTTATTCCCCTATCGTCACAACTACGTCCATGCCAATATCAAATGCCCTAGAGAGAAACAGAAATAACTCAAAAACATTAACAATCTCATGAACAAAAACGATTTCAAAAGAAATAAAAATGATCATTAAGTTTATCGTAGGTATATTGGTTTGCAATTACTTGGACCTTCGCATTTCCTTTGTGTCTTGTTCTTATATAGGAAAGGGAGATTTATTTTCACTTTGGAAACACAGGCACTTATATCAGATTAAGTTGTATGATCGAAGGAACAGGGAATCACTAGCATTAATTATGTCCCATTTTGTACTTTTAAAGCGATGTTGTTTGAACTTCAATCCTTTGTAACCGTGTGCTCTTATTCATCAACTATTTCAAAATTATAGCCCGAGATTTCTATCGCGTGATATTTAATAAGGGTGAAGCCCGATTCAACCATGACGCAAAGAAATATAGAGCGAACGGGGTAATTGTCTTTATAGTTAGTATAAATATACAGGTCGTTCAAAACTTAAACTCATATTTTTACTTTAATCCTTTTTACGGGTCGCACAATTTTAGGCTACTCGTTTTATTCGCTATCTGTCACAGAGATAGCGAGTGGCGTGGTCAGTCAGATCGTTGCATTAATAGCGAACACCAGTAGGTGGTCCGAATGAAAATTTATTACGTCAATTATTACCGACGGTTGTTTAATTTAATTTTGACGTAACAGTTGACGATCACAGAATTGAGACGTATTTCCCTTTGGCCGAAACTACAATGACGGAGTCATTCTCGATGGCCCTTGGGAAGACAGAGGCAATTTAAAATATAGACAACATTAACTTTTGTTTTTAAAGAAAAAGATTGGTGACTTAATCAGAAGCTACAATAGCTTTGATTTGCACTTTGGCGATGCTTTTCATTCCCCCTTTCATATTTTCCTCAATATTTTAATATTATTCCAGCGAAAAGAAACAATCTCTTTACGATTTGCAAGTAAAAGGAATGAATGAGTTTGATTATATTGGAACATCAATTTCCGTCTCGTTAACTATCGACATTGTTTGAAAAGTGAACCTTGTACTCATTATTTTATTTATTCTTCATCGACTATTGCTGTATAGTATATCCTTATCGTGAATCCTAGGCCCATGTCAAAATTGATAGCCCGCACGAAAAAAAGAAAAAAAAACGAGAAAAAATGAGATATATTGACAATTTTACAACGAAGTAAAAAAAAAAAAGGCACAAAGTTGTTGAGAAATATTATAGGTGGAAAGTATATTACGCCATTACATCTTCCTTTTTCTTTTTATTTTTCTCCTATCCTCTTTAGTTTGTCCTCAGCGATAAGAATATTTAAACATGTTCTTTTCGTTTTATCATCAAGGGTGACTTATTTTTAAAGTAGGATTTGCGTCGCATAACTTGAAGACAAAAGACTTTTGCACCTACATCGATCGTTTTAGTTACTTCAATGTGATGACCTAAAGTTGAACACTTTCAACGTGAAGCAATTACAAAGCTGGAAAAGAATATTTACACGAGTTAGAGTACTCCCAAATGTTTGAAACGTTCGGGAACAATATTTCAGTATGTTTTGAGTTTTAGTTCACCGTGCAGGTAAACGTTTTCAAAAATTTGTGCCACTGTCTTGTACATGTATGTAAAACATATCAGGTTCGTTTGATCTTTTCGTAGGTTCTTTGGCTCGATTGTATGCAGAGCATGGTTAAATTGGACACTCCCCTGATATGCCGCTTAAGCTTGCCAAAAAAAGTTTTCCTTGTTAAAAAATCAAAATAAGCTTCAGAAACAATTTTTTTTCAATGTGCAGCAACATAAGAAACTTGTAGTTCATAGCAACATCCACATCACAATACGTACGTTTAGAGAAAAACAGAAAAACAACATAAAAACGTAATTGTTTTTAAATACCCTTCATTAATGTGAAAGGGGGATGTTATTTAGCGAATAAATTTTGTAGCTGTTAGTAAAGTTTTCATTGATATCTGTATTTCGTCTTATTTCTACAAACCAGATCATGCCTTTGGGAATTTTTTAGCAAACCCCTTTTTGCTCGTTTGAGCGAGACTAAAGAACGCTCCACACAAGGCACGTTTGAACTGTTTTTTTCGTTTTGTTGTTGTTTTTTTTTTCAAATTTCAATTTCTACATGGTGAACACAGTCGCTGGTGCACTGTAGCCCATCAAGCTATTAATCCAAAAGAACCTATGACTCCTGAGGAGTCAAGCGTTTTTAATCTTTTCGTACGACTTAAGTAGCTAAGAAACAAGGTATTCCTGTTATAACGTAAAGAATGGAGTCCTCAACCAGCGAGTAATGATCGAAACGTTGACGGTACATTTTCAGTGCAGAGGAGTGGAAAAGATACTCAAGTTCAAGGTTGAACCATGCAAAGAAAGTTAACATTTTAGTTGCAAAGACTACTTTAGAAGAGATTTCATTAAATTTAAAGAGCAGTTCCTTATTGTTAATGTTAAAACCATTGATAACTGTTTCTGTATATGATATAATAAACGTAACATGTCAGAAGGATTGTTTTTATCCTTTAAATTAAAGTGAAAGATTGATGCGAATTTGACTGAAGGATTAAATGGTATTAATTTTTGTTTAGATTAAATTTTTAACTTCACCTCAATGAACTCTTGTCATAAATATGGTAAAAACAATTCATCCTGTCATCTGCAGCATGAAGAATATAGATAATCTAGTTGTCTAAGGAAGTTTCATTCTCGAACTATGCTTTTTTATGCGATGATTTCCGTTTCTTAATTGATTTTCATTTGCCCATCGTGAAGGCCACGTCCGTTCCAATACCGATAGCCCTGGCGACAAACAAAAACAATAACAAAATTGATACACCTTTAGAATCGAAAAAAATTTAGGAAGAAATATAAATAACTGTACGTTTTGACAAAGTCGAAAAGGGCATTATAAGGTTTCAAGAGTATTAGGCCGAAGGTTGTTACAATTTTGGTAAAAGGAAAAACATACGAAGCCTATATCAAGGAAAATAATGATCAAAGTTTCCTTTCTAAAAAGGAGAAAAATTCAAGTCGTTAAGGGTTGCATCAATAATGGCGTATAACTGTCATTGTAGCCTTCAAATACACTTGACGATGAGAGGTGGAAGTCTCCAATTTTACTTAATCCACACGAGATAAAACAGTTAAACAGCGAAATTAGTACATAGATTTTACTGTCAAAAAATGGAAATGATGGAATGAAATATAATGAACCAAAAAACAAAACGTGAATAGTCAGGCTCATTTGGAAACGCTGTGTTTTATCAAACACCAAAATTTAGCCATCGGCGCGTCTTCTTTTCAAAAGAACTGAGTTAATATTTTATGTACACTTGATATTATCCCAATGATTGGAGTGCATTGGTTTTACCTTTCACACTTACACCTAAAGCTGAGACTTGAGGCTCTCTTTGCAAACTCAGGAACAAAACAAGAAAAAATGGACAGAAAAAAAAGAAAGGATTTGCGATGTGAAGGCCATATTAAGATGAAATGAAGATTAAGACAAATATTGCTCGTTTAACATTTTCAGTAGTTATATAAATAGCCGGGAGACTGTATTGAAATCATGTTTTGATCTTGATGCTCATGGACGTAAAAGAAGTATTTGTATATAATCTTGAGTCAATATCTATCATGACAGTAATTAGTATTTTTTTGTTGTTTTTGGACCAAAAAAGGTCTGCCCACGCCCCATCCAAAGCGTAAAAGTTGTGCCGCTTGAATCAAAAATTGATCATCGAGGTAGACTTCGAGATGAACAAGACTCTCTTATAAGCTCTGCTTGG